TGGGGACATATGGCTTGGAGCACAGGAGCCAGATATGTTAATAACCCATGTCAAATTGATCTGCAGTAGTACAGATGATAAATTAAACAATGATGACTTGGAAACTCATAAACAAGGAGAAGAAACTATTATGCCTCTTTGCAAAACCCTTTACTTGGCTACATTGGGGCATTAATTCAGTGAACTGACACTTAATCTTTAATGTTATATGCTCTACCGTTGTTGCTGCGAGCCATGAAACTCTCTTGAACTGTTCTCCATACAAATCTCACTTGTTTTGTCATAAAGATCAATATTTTATTACTTTGTGCAAACTCAGAGGGGGAAGATTGTATTCATCATCTCTCAGTGGAACATTAAAACTATAATTTCCCTTTTCTTGAACAGTATGGGGCACTGGATGTTATTTATATAATTTTTATTACAAGCATTTTTAACTTTATGAAGAACAGAAAAAGACTGATTAGTGCATTGCCTGTGGACTTTATTTCAGTCCCCATGTAGTTAAAATCCATCCTTTCTCCAATATAAGATGGGGAAGAAAGACTGCAGAACTTCACCACAATGTGGTCTAAGTGCAACAAACGAGTAGTCAGAGGTTTAGCCACAATGATTTACTATTTCTGGAAAAACCCAGTTTCTTTCATGATATATGATACCAAAACCAGTATGAATAGAAGACTGAACACTGGAATCATGATGGTCTGGGATTCTTCTTGTTTTTAAATTAAATGGCTTTTGAAAGCATTTATATCTGAGCTAGTCTCTTTTTATTCTCCTTTCTGGTTGGTTTTTTTTTTGTTTGTTTGTTTGTTTTTGTTTTTTTTTTTAATTAAAAAAAGCCTTGATCACCACTGCTGGGACTTGCAACAAGGGCCCATCTTCTCTCCATTCTGAAAAGATGAGAGATGGAACTAAACCCCAAATAACTTGCCGCTCATTGATTATACATGTTTTTTATTGCAAATTCTCTGTGAAATCTGATAAATATTTCTTGAATGTGGCCTTGAGGGCAGTTTAACATATCATTCCAGATATGCAAACAGGCAGAGCCTGAACTTGAACCTTTGAAATGTAAAACAGGATTTATTAAACTGACTTGTGAATCTGTGCTATACTGAGGTACTTTATACAAATTCTGTACAGGGAAAAAAAGTCAGAGATGAACACTTTTTGTGCTGTTTATTTAATTTGTTTTTTAAATAAAAAAACATGAGACGCAAATAATGAGGATTGCTTCTACATCTAAATGTTCTTGTCCACAAGAAGCCATAGTATCTGTATCAAGACTTGATTTAAAAATAACACATTTATTGAAAAAGCTGCAAGCCCATTAAAGGCTAAATTTTGTGTCATATAAAATCCCTAGGGTCTGACATCAGGAAATCTTTGTGATGAAAAGAACTTATTTTACTTACTTAAAAAAAAAAAAAAAAACAGGCAAAATGAAACCAAAGGGGTTCCAAAATGAAAGATGTCTTTCCATCTCATCTAACTGGAAAAGAAGATGCTCATGGCACATAGGGAAGGGAGTTTTTTAGCTGTCTTGAGGGACTGGGGATATCTAACACTGGTTTATAGTATGATTTGCTTGAGAGAATTAAAGAAATTAGTTAAGACTGTTCAACCAACCTAAGGACAGTAATGCAGAAACATATTTTCTCTACACCAATCTATTGGCAATAAATTAAATCAATTTTCCCTAAGTTGAGTCTGTTTTTCCCATAATGGTAACTGGTAAACAATCTCCCTATCTTAATCCTGACCTATGAACATTTTCATCCCATTTTCCCCCCTGTCCTGCTGAAGGGGGAGTGAGAGGGCAGCTAGGTAGACATCTGCCAGCCAGCCAAGGCCAACCCACCAAAACCTGTAAGGTGGTGTAGCTCCTTCGGATCCCTTAGTAAAGTAACAAAACCCAAATCCTAAGTGCCACAGCCCAGTTGTTACACACTCTCCAGCAAGCTGCAAGCCCAGGATGTTTTTGGGTGTGTGCTTGCATGCCTTGCAATAGCCTTTCACGTGCCCTTTGGCCATGTTTGCTTAAAAAAATAAATTGTGTAACTGTGGATAGACAATGTCATAAATATATGAAATTTTGGAATCACACTATCACCTACTCCAGGCTTTCAAAGATCATGTCTGTCCCCAGAAATCCATAAATAGGAAATATTAGCTCTGCTTTTTTTTTTTTTCAATCAGTTGGAAGAGTTATTCTTGAGTGAGATCTCATTCTAGAAACTGGTTCAGCAGATGCAAACAGGCATGCTAAATTGCTTAGGCTTCAACAGCTATTTGCACACCTTAGTACTTCTCTCTGCAGCTGGACATAGTGATTTTTGAATGCAGTTTTGTCACTGCTAAAACAAAGAGGATAATTTTCAAGCCTATAGTGGGCTTTCTCTAATGAGATGCACGGTGCTGTGGAAGTGGAAAGCAGTATCGGGAGACGGTGACTACGACGAGGGCCCGTCGTGCACACGGGCATGCCTTCCTTACAGAGTGCATCTAAATCCTGACCGATTGCGCTTGAATCTGCCCTAAGGGCTCATCCTCGATGAGTTGCCAATGGTCTTAAGTATTTGGAAAGGCCCAGCAGTGAGTGCTTTCTCCCTAGCTTGTAATGTCTTGTTAGTATCTCCAATACTATTACCAAAATACTCAAGGTTGGAGGATTGTTCATATGCATTTTTCTTCTTTTGAAATGGTAGTTTTGGAAACAGAAAGAGAAAACGAATGCAAGTGAATTGACAATTTAAAGCTACCAGCCTGTCATGTAAAAGATATGCAGCTCATGTATGCTTATCAGTAAAGAATGTAGCTGTGCACATGGGAACTCTAAGGCTTAATCTCTCACTGCCTCTGAGCCTCGATATATTCCAGTAATGTGGCAATTAAAAGATTATTATGAAATCCTTGTGGAGATAATTGTTAAATATCTTTAAAAGCCATACATAGTTAGGAGTTGAATGATGTGTATATGTGAATTACTGCCAAAATAATCAAAATGCATTCTAATAAATTATATAGATGGAGAATCATTGTTTTAAGAAATAAAGCTTGATTAACATAAATTTTGGAGAGCATTTGGAAATGGAAAAATTGCTCCATATATGAACCCGCATTTTAAAAGAAGGAGTTTCTACAATTTAACCCAAGTTACTCACTTTGATGCTGTTGTGATGAGAACCATGTGGATGAAGCTCTAGAGCGCTCTGTGCCAGGCCCAGTGGTCTGGGCTGCCCTCACAGAAGTCATTGCCAGGTCAGGCCTTTTAAGCCTTTTACTCAAAATTCACAAAAAATCGGTGAAGTCAACAGCCCGGAAGAGCACAGTGCTTCCTGTTGTACCCGATGTGTAGAGCACGTAGAGTTTGAGTTGCAGGTGGGGCCTCTCAGGATTTGAAACGGATCTTGGCGACGGGCCGCTGGTGCCAGTGCTGAAGATGAGGACATCTGACACGTTAGCGGGAGAAGACTTCACATGGCACGAGCGACTGGGCAGAACGCTGTGGCTTTTGTGGGGGCAGTGGTTTGGGGTAATATTTTTGTAGAAGTCAGCCATGTCTTTGAACCAGCAGCATCAGCTGATTTGGGTCACACTTTGCTGACTGGTGGGTGCAGCTTTTCAGGCATCCACGGATGCTGCAGACCACCCAGGGAAGGCCTCTGAGGGAAGGGGAAATAAAGTGCTCGCTGTGGAGAGCAAAGCACTGGAAGGGCCTTGAAACTGGAATGTATGGAAATGTTGCAGAAGGAAATGCATTTCTCTCTCTTCTTCTCCCCTTCTCCCATGTTAGGTGCTATAAGGTAGGCCTGCATTTTGCATATTATTTATTACTGTTTATTTACTTTGTACTATACACCTTCATTTCTGTGCAGTTTGAAACGGGAAAAAAAAAAAAGTCTTTTCAGTGGTTATGTACTTATGTTCCAGTGGAACTAATGAAAGAACACCCATCGTTACGAATGGGAGTATTCACATCTTGCAGAAATCCCCTTAGAACCCATTTGTAGAGAAGAGGTTCTTGAAAATCAGGGTGACCCGAGTCTGTCATGAGTCAGGGAGGAGGATGCCGGAGGAGACTGTGCCAGCAGGCAGTGCAGAACTGCTGCAGGAGAGATGTTCTAGCTCAGGGTAGACGGACATGGCAGTAATGATTGAAGTGCAGTTGCTGCATCCTTGAGGAGGAAAACGGGTCCAGATGGTCAGACCCTCTTCAGACTGTCTTTGATGACCCTGTGTGATTGCAGTGGGGCTAGAGGTAACTGTCCCAGTTTGCAGCGGGAGAGCTGGTGCCAACAAGGGAGCTGGTTCACGTCTCTTGTAAGAACTACCTCAGCTCCAGCAAAAGGTGGGGGTATCTGAGGGCAGGGGAAGGCTGTTGTGGCCATCTGAGTTGACTGATGGAAATGTCTGGTTCTCTGATACATCTCCGTCCATGTGGCACCTTCAGTTCCTGCAGCCTTTCCTTGTTTTCTCAGACTCAGTCTGACTCAACAGACTTTACACCTTGACAGGTTTCCAAGCCCAACACCAGTAGTAGTCAGTTTGCTCAAAAAACAAACTGTAGAAGTGTTTATCTCAGAGATTTAAAAATTTGAAGATTAAAAAAACCCCACAATACAAACATATGCCTGGTGGTTTGGTCTGTCTCTTCTGTTTAAGGCTTTTTTAACGCAGCCCAGCCCACCCAGTCTCTGGTAACATCATAGCCCACACTCCCTGTACACAGCAGAAGGCTGCTCTGGCAGTGCTTCACTGTAGGAATTTTTGCTGCCTGCTTGGGGAAGTGGAATTTCTAAGCTTCTCCTCAAGTTTCAAACGAATTTTGTCTTGTCCTCAGCCCAGCAACTAGCTGTGCAGCCTTAACATCCATTCCAGCCCTCGCTGCCATCCTCAGCCCGACTCTGCAGTCCCAGCTTCTTGCTTACCAGAGGTCGAAGGGTTCTTCACCCTCTCGTGGACCTTCGCCTGGTTCTGCCTGGATTTGGTGGAGCTCCACAGGTGAGGAGAGGTGGAGAGAGCAGAGGCCACTGAAGAGGGAGGGAGTGCAGGTGGCCCTTGTGACTCCACTCCAGCTGAGCTAAACCTGTCCTCTCCACCCCACCGGGAAGCTGCTGTGACCCTCATGGAGGGCTGTAGCTTCTGTTTAACTATTTGTCAGCTGAAGCTGAAAGCAGGCAACTTGTGCAGAAATGCAATGTTGCTTTTGTAGTTTTGCCAGCATTTTCCTTCGATACCAAATATAGTAAACACACTTCTCTTTTTCTAATGCCTGGGTAACTAACAGATACCATTTCAAGATTGTTTGACATTAAGAGTTTATTTTCTGTCTACCATTTCAAAATGGAAGCAAAAAGTAATCGGTTATTGGTAGCAAAACTGCATTTCTGGCCAATAGGTAAATCTAATTACCTTCCACACTAAGACACCCACTTGAGATAATTAGTGCTGCCATTAGCTTTTCAAAGGCTGTTCTAGGTAAACAATGTTTTAATAAATTTTAAGTAACCCAAATATTTTTTGCAATAAAAAAATAAATAATAGACATACTCAACTCTTGAGGCAACTGCTGAGCTTCAAGTCAGTGAAGCAAGTTGTAACCCTTCTAAAAGCAAAGTTTTATTGTCGATGTTGCACTTGACATTGTTGCTCATTTTTCAGAGGATGACCAAGCTGAAGTGTCACTGAGATGCAACTGATGAGTGTGACCTGAGGACAGAGCCAGAAATAAGAAATAGATGACTCGTGGCTCTCATGATACATAAACAATGTTGGTTATGCTGCCTGCTCAGTAAGATCAATGGGATGCTGCTTGCTTTCACAGCAAGACAACACAGTGAAAACTGATGCTGCAGAGACACCCCTGAGGATAACAGGACACAGTGTGCATTCAGGTGAACTCTTTACAGGACTTGGGGTGTAACTGGTATAGACTTCCTGCTGGAGCCATAAATCTGGTCTCAGCCAAATGGGTCTTAATGAGAACCACTCAATCGGCAGCACACACTTTGCACCACATAACTGGGAGAGGAGTTTGAGTCGGAATCCTTACTTTAAAGACAGAGAAATTTTACAGTCATCATCATCATCAGGATCTAAAATGTTGATCTCAAATGCTGATCAGGCAACTCCAGCAACGTTGCTCAGATATGGCTGTGAGGGCTTCCTCTTAATGCATCCAGGATTTTCAAGTTTGTCCTTTGTTGAAAGAAATTTTTCTTTTCCTTCTTCTCCTGAACTAATTCAGGTTTGTGGTATCAGCATTTAATAGGCAGTCACAGCACGGAGCTCTTCTCTGCAGTCAGAACCGTATTGCTGTTTTTGTTAACCTGTTCCAGTTTTAACTCCAGCTCAGATCCTTCCATGAATACCAGTTTCATCTGAGAGGGAGGTAGGTGATTGAGAAGCAACCACATCTGAGTACGGGCTACTGAGATCATCGCAGTGAGGCTGTTCACTACTGGAACTGCTTTCTTCTATCTGGTTCCCTACAGTCACTTGTCTGTAATGTGTGGAGAGAAAAAAAAAAAAAAGCAGTTAACAGAGATACCTGTTTGGAAGACAGATAGCAGCAGTTTCATAAGGAAGTACATTATCAAAGTTTTAAAAGACATAGAAGGTGGTTTTTCTAACAGAAAAGACATTGAATCCATCAAGAGACATGCTTTTGGACTTCAGCATTCCTTATCCACCACGAGAACCAAGTCCGTACCTGGAAATGGAGTATGACCAACAGCAAAAGTGTGAGCTGTGTCTGCTATGTGGTGACTCCCCCTCTCCCACTCAAGATGGGACTTCAGTCCAGCCCTTAAGCTTGATTCTTTAGCTGGCTTTTTAAAGAGGAAGCTAGAAACTTTGCTATGACTTGCTCTGTACCAAGGGTGAAGGGAACTGTCATGGGAACTGCCATTTCCTCATGGGAAAGAGAAGAGGGATAAGAGCTTTGTGCGACTGTGAACGGGTGACACAAGGGACAAGAACGAGAGAGATGCGTGATACTTGGGAGAAACTCCCTGACACTGGGTTTGGGAAAAGACAAGACACAGCTCTAAGGGCTGGGGGGATCTGAGCAAGAAAATGAGACAGACCTAAAAAGGAATGGGTAGGATTAGGGTAGCAGGAAACTTCCAGTGTACAAATAATAACAATACAAAGATGTGTGATTCTGCCAGAAAAATGAGTTAGTGGTGGAGTGGAGGGGGCAATGATATGAGAACAGCAGAGCACACCCTGCCTCCTCCTCCCCTGAGCCCTTTCCCAGCAGCTTCCCAAACTTCACCCTTGAAAAATAAATAGCAGATGAGTCCTGGCCTAGAAGCAATAAGTTCCATTCAGTATGGCTGAACACAAGATCCCGACTACTACTACATCCTTAGGGCTTCAAAGGTGGGGAGGAAAATTACATTGGGAAGAAAACGTAACCCAAAAGCAAGAAGGGAAATGGAAAATTTTTGAAAAGTCTTATTAATGTCCTGGAGCCATGGCTTCAGAGATGAGAAAGAAGCCATCTTTGACTGAAAGCCAGTGTTTCAGTGGCTAGACAAATGTAACAACCAAAATATAGAAAACAAGATAAAGTAAATGGGATGAAAAGAAAAATAATTCTTTTTAATACTTCTGAGGAAGGGAAATATAAACTTTGTAACTTCAAATTTATATTCGTTGCTAATGAAACCTTAAAATATTTGTGCCTGACAATTAACACAACAGGGATTTTGCGTAATGGTAATTCAAAAAACCAAAACAAAACCCAAAAGTCTCAGCAACGGGCCCACCACAGGCAGGCAGATTTGAGGGTTTTTTTGCTATGATGCAGGCATATTCAAGATATCTCGCTTCTCTCTGACAGAAGCAAGACAGAAATCCTCTTACCAAAATAGGACGTTTTCTTTCCAGTCCGTTAAGTAGCTAAATATCATCAGCTAGCTATTCATATTTTAAAATCAGCTGGAGAACTTGCATTCCAGAGACCTGGAGACTGTCTGAGGAGAACTCTGTCCGGCTCTTGTCAATCGTTAACCATCCCTGGAACAGCAGGGAAGGAGGCTGGAAGAGCCTTAGCGTCCCAATACTCAAAGAGAGCGAACTGGTCAAGCCAGGTCACTATAAGGCAGTGCAACTGACCTCAGCCCCAGGCAAAATCGTGGAAATAAAACTAAGATAAGATACAACTGAAAAAGTATTTCAAAGGACAGAAAAACTAATTCCAGACAGTGTAGTTTTATAGAAAGACAGGTACGGTGAAAAATGTCTGATGTCAGATAGTACAGTTGTTCGTAGGACATTATTTGAATGCATGGCTTGAGTTATTTCACTCTCTTGATTGTCACTTGTAAATGTCTTTCCGGTCATTGCTAGATGGAAGCCTTTCTGTGTTATTTAAAACCATTAAACAGTTTGAAAACAAAAAGCCCCATCATTTCAGTTTGTAGGAGAAAGGGCAAAAACTAGGAAGAACTTCAGAAAGCAACGGAGTGCACCTTAATGCTAACGCAGCCAGCCTGCTCCCCAGTACCTCAGCAGTGAGGTCCCACTGCACAGCCCAGCTGGGTGGGCGTTTGCCTGGTGGCACCAGACTTGGAGAATGTCCGAGCAGCAGCCACAGAGGGGCATGTTCTGACCTCGCAGCCAGCAAACGGTGTCCTCTCAGCTGCAGAGTCTCGGTGCATGGGATGTCTGGAGGGAGGCTGGCTGCTGGCAAACAACCCCTGGCCCTGGCTTTGTGCTCACACATCCATTCACGCAGTGGCTGGTGCTAAACAAAACCCCAGCCTGTTAGTTTTCACTTGGAGTTATCGGTTATCTCTGAACAACCTCAGCACCACCCTACCAAGTGTGACACCAATCCCAGGCCTCTCTCCCGTGGCATGATACCCGCTAAAACATATGGAGTATGTTTCTTTAGATGACAGGAGTGAGAATACTTTTATGTGAAGATACTGTAATTTGAGCTCTAGTGGCCTAAGCCTTATAACAGGCTTTGATGGTTCATAGCTAACCTTTTTTTACAGTCTCTGCTCCTGTGGGTCTGACAGCTGCTCACATCAGAGGGAGCTGGTTCTGTCAACATAAAAAGAGAAAGTTCTCCTAATGATGGAGGTGTGAAAGGCCACTTTATCCCTTGAAACCAGAGGCTTGAGAATAGCAAGATTTATTATCTGCTTTTGAGACTAAATTCAGAAACTACTGGGGAGAAATGGGGATAGATCCGCAGGAAGCCATCTGTAAAGGCTTAGCTGTCTCAGCTTCTGACACAAGCAATGATGCTGTAATCTATGCAGACAAGTCATGTAGACCTCAAATACTGGTCTTGTGAGAGTCCCAACCACGAGATTTAAGTACCACTGAGAAACCGTGTTCTTTCTGAGCTCTTAACCGATCTTGGCTAGGAAGTTCAAGATACCTAGGTGTGAGGATATCTCATTACCACTAGTGAGAGACAACAGGTAGAGATCACAGTTGAGAATATCTTAAGTGAGTTTATAGACAGACAAATTACCTTGATTCCATGAAACAGTCTACTGTGACGGGAAGAGAGGGCTAAAGAAAGTAGAGAACAGGAGCAACTGCCTTAAGAAAGCAGAAAACAGGAGCGTCTGCTTAGCTGGAGAAGTCCTCTTATGAGGATGTTCTTACTATAGTATTAAAAAGGACTTCCTCTTCCCCAAAGACAAGGTAGCATGCTCAAGTAGAGCTATGACATGTCTTACTGTCATCTGGAAGAATATGATGCCTTGAGTGTCAGATTCACTGCTGTTGTGTACAGGAATAGGTACTTTTTTTGTTATTGTAATATTTGGTGGTTATAATGTTCACTAATGAATATTAAAATCTTGAAGGTAAGCTAAAAAAAAAACCAAAACAACCCTCTGAAAACTATCTGCCCTCATGTGTGATCTAGAATATTGATATAGATTTTTTTTCTGTCCTAGGGACAAAAACCCCTGAGCTGTCAAATATCCAAATTAGTTCCCCAGTTCCAGGAATGAAGCAGCTGTTGCAATTGATCTGGATAGAACAAAAAATTGAAAGAGCACATGGACATTGTACAGTCTGCCCACCGAATCAGTGGTTATCTGTCTGTCCATAAAGAAAACTCTCACCTGCAAACTGAGAAGAAAGATGGCTGTAGAACAAGTGTTTTCAAGCCAACTCCCACATCTCTGTTTGGCAAGTGGAAACCTCAAACTGTGTTACCATATGCCCCAGAAATGTTGGGTAAAAGTTGGTGGTAGTCAGGGGGAAAAAATATCTAAATGCTGCATTGGGTTTCTTATTGCAAGAAAGCTGTCTGAAGCCAGCAAGGCTCATGCTACCAAGGAGTCCAGGGTCCCTTGCCTGAGCCCCTCTGAGACCATTATGACAGCAAGAAATGTGGACAAAGGATGAGACAGATCTCCAACTCTCTGGGTACCTTTTTTTTTTTTTTTTTTTTTTTTTCAAATTACACTGCCTGGTAGGAAAGTGATAGCCAGAAGAAGATTTTGGATGTCCACAGCAGTCTCAGTCACAGCTGTCAGGAAAGCACAGCCTCCAGTGAAATGCATGGGAAACCAGTGTGTCCTCTTGAGAGGTCCAGGAAGAAGCTTCCCCTGCCCCCCTTCCACTGCGTGAAATTCCAGCCTTGGCTGAGAACTGTCTCCAGCCACTAACCCTTATTTTTATGTATCATTTTGGATGACAAGAAACATAGCTGAAGCAAATTATTAATAGTGGCTCTTGATTACAACAGCAGTGTGGTAATCAACTGCCTTGGCATGCTAATGGGTTAGAAATAATTGGTCCTGTGCCCCAAACCTTTTTTCTTTGTTTATTTCTGTAGGGGTAGTTGTAATGGTGACAAAAGGGACTGGGACATGAATTCCCTGCTGCAGCTCTCTTGCAGGCATCAACCCTCCCCCCCCTCCCGAACTCACTCATCTGACTTGGCACCGAATTACTCTGTATTGCAGAGAAGAGTGTGGTGCAATCAGATCCTGGATTCAGGTCCAGGACCCCTCAGTGTCTAAGGATTATGCTGTGGCATAAGTAGCTCTAATTGTTGCATATGCCTTTCAGGGGACACTTTTGACACTGACTTCTTTTCTGTGCAGACAGGCAGGTAAAAGTCAGCAGACTATACTGTCCTATTTAGCCCTTGCCAAAACAGTAAGACCTTGGTGTACAGAGTGGTGGAAGAGATATAATCACGGCATGTTCTACAAGGCCAAGATGTCACCTTCAGGGACCCCTCAGAGATACAGCTGACAATGAAGACAGCTCACATGCAGTGGGGGGGGTGGGGGGTTGCTCGACAGTCATCTGAAGCAAGAAAGTAGACTTACGAACTGCCAGACCTGAAAGCACGCTTTTTTCACCAGGCGGTTGAGCAAGCTGGAAGAGTACACGCTGCCCTATATGCCCCAGGGCTTGACAGAGAGATGGATGAGCACAGAAACAGTGAAGGTAAAAGTTCTCCAGCCTTGACCAGTGACGTGTATGTACGTTTGTTGGGTGAATGTATCAGAATTATCACAGGAAAAGAGACAGGAGATTTCAATATAGAAATTAGATGATTGCCATGCCAAGAGGAATGGATGGATTTCATAAAAAGAAGATGACAGGGGAGGATGTTGGATGTTAACAAGAAGAACTTCTTTCAGGCACCCCACATTGTTTTATTGCTGGAATGGGGAGACCTGTAATTGGAGTGGGGGTTAAAAACCAAGTGGAACTCAATCAGAAAGGGCAAGTTTGGGGAGGGTGGTGTGTTGAATAGTCTCTTCAGTCCTAAAATTATTTTCTTACAGTACGTTTCAAGCCTAGAAAAATATAGCAAGACAGGATGATTTCAAAGCCTAAGCAAATCTCATCCAGTATGGCTTTCCATTAATGATTCCTGGGCTCTCCACAAAACATTCCTAGACTTACCCTGCTCACAACAGCTCTTTCAATGGGCAAAACTGAATAGGGATAAATATGGATATTTTTAAGCCAAGTATTTCACTCAGTAACATGATGCAAAAGTGAAAATTTAAAAAAATTAATATTTTTGTTTCAGTTTTCCAAACACTCTGAGATTTTCATGTATATAGACTTCTCCTGCCAGCTTTTTAGGAACAGTGAATTAATGGGAACATGCCTCTGTTACCCTGTAATTTTATGTTCATTTCCATGTGTTTCTTGTTTTGTTAGCTTGCCTCCTGCTTTGTGGTTTATTTGGGCAAGTTGCCTTTTTTATTGTTGTTGTTACCTTTTGTGAGCATGCCAGAGGCTGTAGGGTGCCAATAAATTAGAATATTAGTGCTCCTTTTTACTGCCATATTATACTTGTTTCCCTCTGCTTGTTTGTGACCTAATCTTGAACCTCTGCCTGATCTGCTGAGCTGAATTTTCTGCGTCCTGATCAGATTAGGAGGAGCAGTGGGCAAATGCATCCTTGTTTGCATAAAACATGTTTGCCAGAAAAACTAGCAGCAAACAAAGTAAACCAAATGTAGAAAGCTGCAAACAGAAACCTGTCCTTAGACAAAGTTCAAAATCACAGGCAGCGTTAGACCCACATTCCCATTCAACCTGTGGGTGCTGCACATCAGCAGGCGCTGTGTCTCCATCGGGCACATCCACTGCAGCTGCTGTCACAGGACAGGGTCTGTAAACTTTTAGGAGACTGGGGACACGCCTGTCAACAGTGAGCTGTTTATGCAGCCTCTCTTTTCAGCCATGGAGGTTTCAGGTGCAAATACGCTACTAGAGCAGATTAGCTATTCCATCTATCTGCCCCTGCAAGACATTTCCGTTTCAAGCCCAGCTGTAAAAACAGTCTGGATGACACGAACGCGGGGCTCTGGGATAGAGCTAGATACGCTGCACACACTCGGGCCTGAAGATGCTGTTCTGCTTTACTGGGCTACTCACCAGCCCATACCCAACTCTGTCTCCATAATGCCGAATAATACTCTACTGAAATTTAAATTAAGGTACTCAGTTAAGAGTGACAGAATCACACCTGTAAACTTGAAACACTAATGACATGGCCTGAGCCCAATGCCAGGAGATTCTGTCCCAACAGAAAATCCGGTTTGACCATGTTGTCTCACTCCTAAACTGACTGGTACTGTGAATGCTACACATCCATGACTGACAGGTGCTTCGAGTCATTTCACATCCACACTTTCAACTGATTAATACTCTAAGTGTATTTGTAGTTTTGCTATGGGCTTACTACGCTGAAGGACAGAAGTTCAGACATGGACCATCTTTGGGAAGGAAGGTATTGCCACACGCCTGACAGGCCTTGCAAAACAAACCCAAAACAAAACAAAACAAAACAAATCCAACAAACAAACAAAAGCAAAAGGAAAATTTGCCCAGATCTTCAGCTAACTATAGATCAATAATTTCACTGAGTTAATTTAGCCTACAAGAACTTAAAAGTGTTTAGGGACTGAGTCATACACTTATTTTAGGCAAGAAAGAAGCTTGCCTAACCTCCTGCATAACAGGCCAGAGAATGATGGAGCATAGGCTCCTCACAGTAATTTTTGGATGAATGTAAATGCATGTTTTTCAGACATACAGTCATCAAGTGAAAAAGGAATTAATCACAACCCATTTAATATTCTAAATTGTTCCAGTGAGTCATTATCCTCACATAAAATATGCGGTACATCTGAGTTTGTGTAGCATCAGCTTCCAGCCGTTGCATTTTAGGACGGTACTTTACCATCTGATAGTTATCATGGGGCTCCTGAATTGCACACTCGTGTTCTAAAAGATGCAGTCAGTTCACAGGGAGCATCTTTGAGCCACTGCTCCTTGAAAAACTAATTGATTTGAGTTGATTTCTCTCACTGTAGAATGCATTTCTGGAACTCAAATCAGTTTTTTCCCCAATACCTCCCAATTTCTTTAAAACCCCTTTTAAGGAGTGCATTCTAACATAAGTACAACATTCTTGGGGTGATCTAAGCAATGGCACACATACTATTATCTTCCTGATCTTACTAATAGATTTTCTCTTATTTTGACCAAGGCTTACAGAATTGCTTTGGGAGCTTGTGTTCACCTGCTTTGCCACCATGTTTCCTACTTCATTCTCAGGTGTGGTTTGCAAGAAGTATTCCCCCATTCTGTGTGTAAAAGAGACACTCTTACTTCCATAGTATGCAACCTGGATAGCTGGCACAGGTAAAATGCATGCTCTTTGCCAACATACAAAGCAGTCGAGACTACTCTGTCTGTCCTTGTGGTTTACCATTCCCCCATCTTTCTGTCACCTGCAAACCCCATCTGTTATGGACTTATTTTCATCCAAGTGATTAATACAGACAGTGAATAGCTCTGAGTTGAGAGACACTCAAACCAAATAATAACAGAAAAAGTGTCATCTCTGTGTGTAATTATAAATGTTGTAATTGCTGAAGCACTTGAAGCAGTGAATGACTGTTCCATGCGGATTATTTTATCACACTGATCTATACTTACTTTATCTCTGGTTGTACTTACTTTACTGGAGTTGATCCAGAGCGGGACATATACAGTAAAATAAGGAAAAGAAACGTCACAAACGCAGCAAGCCCAACCCAAAAGGCTATGACAATAGAATCTGTGGACACAACACAGTAATTCTGTCACTGGTACCATAGCAAATATAAAACACAGCAATATAATTTATGATCTCTAAGAAAGATATGTCATTTAATTAATTCAATTTAATTAAACCCTTGAAAGAGAGCAATCTGAGTGCCAATTTGTTAAAAGTATTAAGAGCCTCCTAGCAGTTTCTTGTAACAGTGCATTGCCAGGGCTGGGGAAGAGGTTGGGGAAAAAAATCTAGTAAGTGTGATGGTGACTAGCACTCTGCATACATTTAAAAGGTAATACTGAGCACTGATGGTTTTCTCAGTCTCAGCTGTTTGCAGGGGATACAGCTTCTTTTACAAAATCCCAGTGCGGTAAGCAGTGTGGTACTCAAGACTGAGCCATTACTGCTCATTGCATAGCCAAATCCCGCTCTTAAGTGAAAAAGTACAACAATCTCCAGTCTTTAAGGTGATGCTTTTAGGGAGGGAATTCTAGACTTGAAAACATTTTATACCAAGAGAAATACTACAGAAAGCTTGTTGAGAAGTGCCTGGGACCCTCACAGCACATCAGTCCAGGGGAAGAGAATGTGAACCTTCCCCTGTTGAGCTGCAATACTTCAGTAATCAACATAAAATAGTTCAAAATGCAATTTACTTTATCAGGACTAAGTGGTTTCTTTAAGGAACAATGGATTCCTAGCACCAAAGTACGGGTTCACAATTGGTTTAAACCAGCCTAAAATCCTGCCCCTGCTGCTATCCCCAATTCAGATGAAAACTTTGGGGTTTTTTAATTAATAAAAGAAAAAAAAGATGAACTGACCCCTGATCTGGGTGACCAGTGCTATGGGGAGTATGAGCTGGTTGGGGGAGAAAAGGGAGTTGCTCTTTCATGAATGAAGGCTATGGTGCTGCTGAAATGACTGCCTCAGTTAGGGGCTTGCTGTTAGATGGGGTGGATCTGCAGCTGCCCCAGTAGCACACTTGGTCACTGGTTCACAAACACTCCTTGCTGGGATCAGCGTGGTTGTGGTGAGGGTCCCAGTTAAAGCCTTGAAAAGGTCGGGTGTTCTGCAGAACACAAGTCGAGAGATGCCCTGAATTCATAACCGGCTACTTGCTTAGACTGAGGTGAAAAAGAAGGGTCATTGACCCCAGAGACAAATATTGACCAAGATAAATCTTCCATCTGAAAGGACAGAAAACATTGTGTTCTTTGAAACAGGTCCAATATGTTTGATTAGGTGTTTCTTTGTGAAAAAGTTCAGAACGTGTTGTCATCAGAGCCACAAAGAGATTAGGGGGAATTATTCCAGTTCCTTTTAAACCTAAAACCAGATCTGACCCATCTGGAGTCTTATCAGAAAGCTGAATTTTGGCTGGGCTACTGAGAAATAAGAATGTGGAAGGTCAGATTTTTTTATTCTCCCTCTGTTAAAAAAAGTTATACTGAGCTTTAATTCAGAGGATGGTAAATTAACTTGAGGGACAATATTCTGACCTACTTTTCCCAAACTTATTATGGGAAAAAGCAATGGGGTGCTACTGGCCAACCCCAACTTCCCAAGTGAGAATTAGGGGACTTCTGCTTAAAACAAAACAAAACAAAACAAACAAAAAAAAAAAAACAAGCTCATGGTCCAGTGATATTCTGAGAAGCTCAAAGTTTTGAAGTGTTCAAAGCCATCATGACAGAAACAAATTATAGAATTCCCTATCAGAGCTATTTTGGTTTAATCTTTTAAAAGCAGCTTTAGTACAATTCATGGAATTCACTGAAGCTAACCAAATTTGCTCCAGGTCTCAGGGGGAAGTCTGAAGTCTTGAGGGATAAACAGCAACTTCCTGTTTTTAAAGTCTTACAATTAGGATTTTTTTAAAACTCAGACAACATATTTTAACAATCTATAGAAAGCTTTTCTATTGATAAATTTTACAGTCACCTTTTTTGTGTGTGTGCCTGTTTTTAAATAGCCTATTAGTCCATGGGCTAATTAAGCTTTTTATTATTTTGAAAGAAAATGAAGAGAGCCACACACCACTATTAATAGAAAGCAAACCCATGACTTTATAGCTGGATTTAGATTCATTTTCATGAGACAAACACGGTCTCATGATGCTTCAGGGACAGGCCATATAACAGAGGAATGAAAGTGCAGAGACTCAGGTCTCTGTTTTACATTAAGTAATAGCAAAAAAAACCAAACCCAAACAACCAACAAAAAAAAAAAAAACAGGCAAAATTGAATTAGGGAGCTATAATCCCATTCCAAGGTTGTGACAGCCATATGATTCATTTGGGCTGATTCAGCAATGCACCTCAAGAAACACTCAGGTGTAATTGCAGTCAATCAGCAGAGGCGCTCTGGAACATCAGTACAGCTGTTATTGTAATCCTGGAGGTATCCTACATTTTGCCAAACTTGGAGTGTTTGTGGCTATCTGAGGAGAAATTATCACATTTCATCTCCAGCACAAAGGGCAAGGACTTGCTGAACTCACTTTGTCTACACAGTTCCAAACACATGAAGACAATAATCCCAACAATGGATTTTGAAGGTGTAAGAATGTAAATATTATGCAAAGACAGGAAAACCTACAAAGTATATTCACTGCTTGACTAGTGCTTTTATTCAAAACAGGGAAAAAACTAACCAGCTGTGGAATTATATTCCTTTATGTTTTCTTTATAACTTTTAACTCACTGTTCTCCCACTGGTATTTGGAGAAAGAAGAATAGAAGTACGAAGATGATGCTATCTCCATTCCTCCTAGACTACTGACACGGAAAACCATCTATTTTTAGAGGAAGAAAAAACAAAAACAAAAAACAAAACAAACCCAACCCCCCCCCCCCCAAACAGTTTCACTTCCCAAGCTATCAGAAAACCAAGTCCAACATTTTTAGTTCAGAAATTGTTACAGCCAATGTGGGGTCTTTTAAAGACACAAATCATGGAGCAGAACTCCATTTTGACAAGCTGCCTAGAAATATCTTACGTAAACAGCTGCCCCAGGGAACTGAAATTGCCTTAATGTTAACCAGCTGAGGGGGAAAAAAAGTACATCCCAAACCCTACACTTGCATCTTTTTCTTCTTTGCCTGGGAGCTGAGCCGCTACAATACAGAAGCCTGTTTTTCTGCAGATTTTTTTCCCAAAGCTGAGCCCAAATGTGATTTCCTTTGGTGCCCGACAGGGCCTTCTTGTCTGCAAAGGTCTTCACTCACAATGTTCTTCCTCTACTATCTAGTCACAAGCTGTAGGAACTTGCAGGTTCCTTTATATATTTTATACCTTTGAGGCCTCTACTCCTTTGTAACTAGATCATGTTGGAGTTACTGTAGGAGCAGAGGAGATGCAAAAACATGAAGTATGATTGCATAAATCATCTCCTTATAATATAAAAAGATCTGAAAGGTGGAAGACATCCCTACTTCTTTAGGGGGAAAGAACAACAAAAGAGTACTAAGAGATCGATTCACTCTGCTTTTTTAATGGAAATAGCGCTTCTGAACTCATTAGAAGTCACACACTTGTGTGTTGCAATTCCCTCCATGAAACTATCAACAAATTTAAAGTAAATTAAACAGAAGGTGAGAATCTCCTCTCAGAAGCACAATTTCTACAAGTTTCAAGAAAATGGCCAGCTGGGTAAAGAGAAATATCTTTTAAATTGCCATGGAGGGAAATGCTGTAACACAAGCTCCATCTCTATTATGTATCAGGCAACCCAAATGTTGGGAAGATGTCATTAATGAGAAAAAAGGGGAAGGCTTTAAGTCCTGATTTTTGGTTTTTTTTTTGCAAAGCCAGCCACATGCTGGGGACTTAAAGCTAGCTTAACACAGTGGCTTGGGGTTTCCCTGGTGGAGTTTGGATGTAGTTACCTGCCCTAACTTTAAAATTAAGATAATTAGAGAAGCTGCTCGTAACCTGCCTGATGCCAGCACCACCAAATGTTGCTCTACAGCATTATGGAGCAAGAGTTTATATATGGAAGGATGTGGATATTTACACCACCTTCTTTAAGGTATGGTGCTCTAAGTTTGGAGGCAGTAAATCCTAGGCTCGTCAGCGTGGACAGAAAAGCTTTTCTAGAGGCAGTGCAGAATAATATTTTCTTGGTCTCATAGGGCAAGTAAAGGACACGAAGCCCCTAACATTGTCAGTTCAATCTTCACTATTAGAAAGACAGTTTCTTGTGCTGTTGATTAGAGACATGAAAATATTTTTAAAGACTGTCATGTTTTCTTTACAGACCAGATCACTATAATAACCTTGGGGAAAGCAATTTTAGCCTCTGAAACCGCATCTTAACAGTTGTAGTTGTCTTTGGTAAACTACATAGCAACCAGTAAAGCCCATAGCTTTCTCACTCAAATGAGGACACAACCATAGGTAGATTCTTGGCAGAAACTGAGGGAAAACGCTGCCTGCAGCCTAAGTGACTCAAATATGCCTACTCACTCTCCCTCGATTTTCGTCAGTCCATCCAACTACACTTGGTTAATCCCTCATGACATGGCTTGTCATTTTATCAAAACCTAATCAATGCAGCTGTATTAGAAAAAAACAAACAAACAAACAAACTTGCCACTTTAAGTAGCCGTAAAAAGACATTGCCATCTCATTGTGTGAAACCAAGTGTGAAATGGAATTAATTGTTGCAGGGTGAATTTGATGAATGCTATTTCATATTATATACTTTGAAAAGAAACTTCTAAACTCAGCAGAATCATCTTGCACAGTAATAAAGTATTTTGACAGTAATGTATATTATTACTTTATCTTACCATTCAGTAGCACTAAATCAAAGGAGGAAAGGTAATAGAATATGTTTTCATATTGTTGTTCCTGACTAGCAGAAACATACACTTCTTTTACTAAGGTTTTAAATGTTTATCAGTTGTAATGTGAACCTTACATCCCAAAACAAAAACACGATAGTGTTACGAAAAGCTCTGCTCATTCAACTTTTCTGATAGTAGTATGCAGGTAACTAACACACCAAGCTACAGATTTGCAAGTCATCAGGTTGCCAGTTAGCAAATGCCGAAAAAATACTTTGTCCTTCTAAATAAAAGTTAGTATCAGTAGCCTTACAGTTTCAAAAACTGTAAGATAAAGCAAAGAGTTTCACTGTTAGTAATAACTGCTATTAGAGCACAGTCAGTTTGGAAGGCAGACACCCACCCATACAAACCACGCACATACAGTCTGGCATGGACTCTATAGCAAGGAAAACAAAAAATAAGTCAGTGAGACAGGCTATGCAACTTTTTTCCTGTACTAGATTAGCATCTACTACTCTACAATACTTACATTTATTAACCTTCAACTTGCTTCCATCTACTGGAATTGGATCTATATAATCCCAATAATATTCATACGACCAAAAGTACTCAGAGGAGTTTGTTCGGTTAGCCATTTCAGTAGTGCATTTTAAACCAGCTCAGAACTCCAACCAAATACTTTTTTTCATTGTACTTCAGCGCCCTCAGAAAGAGATTGCATAACTGATGCCTATGTAAATCACTCTGGGGTCCTGCAGCTCAAGGACTGCCTTGGTACTAAAAAACATCTAGCAGCAATGAATATTAATGTCTGATAGATATGAAACAGCAGTCCTTAAAATGTAATCCTCACTTCCCGGTGGGCAATTATGTTATTCCTCAACATATTTTAAATTGAGATGGATGTCAAGTAACCTAAGCATGGGGTGGACCAGTGCCAGCTGGGTCACAAACCCTTCCCTTGCAGAAACTTGCAGCAACACAGTGCTCTCCGGAGCTACTGAAAACAGTTGGGCTGGAAGATATTTCTGAATTTTTCTTAGAGTAGATGAAATGCTTCACAAATGATGTATTGGAATAACCATGTACTTTGCTTTGGTACTTCTTCCTCCTCTCCACCCCGAAGGCAGCGGGTGGGGAGGCGGGCTCCCGGGCAAGAGGAAGGCAGACCAGTGGAAGGCGTTTGGCCCACGGCAGCCCTGTGCCTTGGCAAACACACGCAACCACGCTTCACTGAGGGTTTTTTGAGGCGCCTTTTTCCACTGAGGTGAAATCGCTCAGGGTAAACGTGAAAGAGTCCCTCGCCCGCTTTTGGCGGCACTCCTAAAGCCCCCAGGGCCGGCTGCAGCTGGGGTGGCAGCGGCGGAGGAAAGGCAGGCCCGCCGGACACCTCCCGCGCACGCCGTGCGGCCGGGCGCCATTTCGAGCCGGGAGCGAGGCCCGCACAGGCAGCGCAAGAAGCGCCGGCTCGCTTGAAGGCGGCTTTCAAGACGCGCATCGCCATCTTTTTCCGTGCCTCCTCCCCGCTACAGCGTTACAGCACTCCAGCCCACCCCACCCCACCCCACGACTGCGCTTCCGCAGGCGCTGCCGCCACCCCCAGCGACAGCTCTCCGGGGTGGGTGTGGGTGCGTGGGGAGGGGACAGCGGCGAGGCAGCACCCGCCGCCCCTCACCAGGCGCCGCAACCGCTAACGGCGGGGCCGCCGGCCCTGACAAGGCGCGCGCGCTGGCGGCGTGAGGGGCGTGGCCACACGCGGAGGCGTCCCCGCCCCGAGGCGAGGCGGGCGGGATTTCCCGCCCCGGCGGGGCCGCGGCCTGGGGCGTCACTGCCGCTTCCGCGCGGGAAGGGCGGGCGGGCGGGCGGTTTGAAGCAGCGATGGCGGGCGAGCGGTTTGAAGCAGCGATGGCGGGCGAGCTGGACTCCTCCTTGTCGCTGCTGGAGGCGGGCGGCGAGCGGGCGCTGCCGGAGGAGGAACGGCAGCGGCGCCGGGCGGGCGCGGAGAGCTCCGACCAGATGCCCATGGTGTTCCTCTGCGCCGGCTGCAAGCGGCCGGTGGGCGACACGCTGAACTGGGTGGCCAGCGATGAGGAGGCGGGCTGCATCCTGCTGCGGAGTGAGTCCTGCCCCCCGCCGCCCCCCCCCCCCCCCCCGCCCTGCCGTGCGCGGCGGCCGTTAGTGACACCTATCCCGCCCCCCCCCCCCCCCCCCCCCGCAGGTGCGGCCGCCGGCGTCTCGGTGGACGAGGAGCGGAAGCTTTCCAAGCGGCCCGGCGACTGCGGATGGTGAGGCCCGGCCTCCGAGCCCCGCTCCTGCCCCGGGGGGTGGGGGTGTGGGTGTGGGGATCCCCGCCCGGGGCCTTCTCTCCCCCGTCCTGAGGGGCCCCCGGGAGGGCGCTGAGGAAAAGCCTGAAGGACGCCCCGTCGGGCCCTGCCGGGGCAGGGGAGCCCGCTGGGCCTGGGGCACTTATTTCGAGTGGCCTCTACAAGGTGCTGATGTATTAGTCTTGCTGAGGTCAGCTGGCTTGAGGAGCCACCGGGAACGCTGGCTGAAAGACGAGTGCTTGTAACTACACTATGTAAAGCAGGAATGAATGCTCTAAAAAAATCGTAATGGATGAATTGTTTTTAGAATAGGGATGGGGAGAGGTGTTTCTCTTTTTCTCCTGAATACATGTTATATGTCCTACTTACAGCATGATAGAAACATTGTTCTGCTCTGGCTGCTCATTGACGCTTGGCAACATCTACAGATGCACCCCAAAGCATCTCGACTACAAGAGGGATTTGTTCTGTTTCAGTATTGACTCACTTGAAAGGTAAAGGCAGAATTTTTATTGGCAAGCCTGCCAACTAAGCTTCACCTGCCAGACATTGTACTGAGGGATGCTCCTGTTAGCGTTTCTGGTGTGTCTAGAGGTAGTTGTTTCTGCTGCTTTGTGCCAGAGTAGTTTTCTGCACTGCTGTGTTAGCATCGTAGTACTAAAGTGTGAGAATCATCTGTGTAATGTTAGACAAATGCTAGAAAAAATAAAATATCAGGGCTGCCTTTTAAATAAGAAATTGGATACTGCCCAAGAAAACAACACTAGGTACACAACACAGGAGGGTTCTTTCTCACTTGATCAGAAGAGGCTACCTATGTGCTCTGCTTATCACAACATAAAATGAGCCAGCAGTCATAGGTAGTATCAGATAGGTCTGGCTATTAGAGGTAAGCGTTATCAGCAGAGAACATGGGCAGAGGGGCTTAAGGAGAACTTAGGGGGAAGTCTGACCTGTACTGATCAAGTCTGCTTTTTCCTTGATAAAGTAAGCAAAAGCAAATCTTAAAACTGAGTATGTGCTTGTGGCTCTCACTTAACTGTCTTACAGTCAAAAACTGTCTAGAGAATGAAGGTGTGCTGTTTTATTGGGTTTTATTGGTTTATAGTGCTTAAAATGGTCTTAAAATATTATTCAATGACTATAACCTGAATTGAGTTTCTGTGTCAGAGTGCTTTCATCCAAGCATGACTCTGGTAAGCAGTGATAGGTTACCTTTATTTCTGTCTGGGCTAGTTGTAATGTTTCTGCTTTTTGTTAAGCTTCAGTTTATCTTGCTGTATCTATCTATCTATCTATGTGGCTGTTCACCTCCCTACTCTGGACAGTTATGTTTTTCCATAGATATGATACTTTGCTTTTTCCACGGCGGTAAAATTCTCTGAAACACTGACATGGCCACAAAATTACATTTTCTCAGGCAGTAATGGTGATGGCTGGTCCTCCTAGCTAGTGCTACACTATTCACCAAGTCTGCGTAATTTTTCACCATATCCTGTAGCACAAGAATTCATGACTGCCTCTTGGAGTTTTAACTTTCATAAAGCAGTGGTGTCTTGGTAGTTCTGCCCTTAAAACAGTTTTCATTCCACCATACAGTTTGTTTGCAAGATTACTAAATATGCATGTGTGTTTTGTTGTTGCTGGAATCAAGCTTCCCCTTTACTAGTGTATTAATCATAATCTCATAATTATTGAGAACAATGGATGAGTCCTACACTTTTTTTTGTCTTCAGAGTGATAAGTGCATGATCTAAACTGTAGTGTATCAGTTACATTCTAGGATCCTCAGAAAAACAAGCTCTTACTGATGAGGAACCTTTAACTCTTGAAAGTCAAGCTGTCTTGGAAAACATGATAGAAAGGGTAAGATTTAAAATTATATAATTCTTTAAATCACCTCTGTGAAATCTTAATATCCTTAAATAGTTTCTACAAAACAATTTATTTCATCTAGTTCAATCTGAGTTTAAACATTTGCTATAATATTTCATGCTATTAATAGCTTGTGTTTATGCAAGATTTTCAATACATTTTTCCTTCCATTTTAATGGTAATTATCATTTTCTGTTTATCAAGCACATCATCAGATGCTTATTTATGTCTGTCAGTAATTAGAACTAATTAGAAATTAAATTTCTGATTCACTTCTCCAGATTTTCACTTAATTTTGTTTTAGTCATGTTTCTTCTGTCTTTCATGTAAACTGACTTAATGCTTTTGCTGAAGCTTTGTATTAAAGTATTGCATAATAAAGTTGCTATTTTGCTCTACTGAAAACTTCTGATTACAGATAGGGAGACCTGGGAGCAAACAGCATAATGAAATCTGCTCTGAAAACTGATGGTTGTCTAGTAAAAGGTGAACGTGTGGATCTGACACCGAGGTTGGAGACGATTACAGATTTGAGAAAGTGTGGGGAGTCAGAGTTGAGTGGACTTTCAAACTATGAAAGTAGCCAGCATAGAATCAAATAGGACTAGTGTGATGCAAGATCAAATCTGAGCACTTACTGACTTCTACACTTGCCCTTTGTATTGTCAAGTTCCGTTTATAACGGAGTATCTTTCCTGGTTTACTTTACAGGCAGACACTGTATTAAAGGTTCTGGAAGCAAGACTGACTGCTGTTGAATCAAGTATGGCTTCCCTTCACAGTGGAGTTTGAAAGAAATTACATGCAGGAAGTTTAACTGCAGGAGAACGATGTATGTGGAACTTGTCCTTGTAATCCTCTGGAATCTGTGGGAACATTACAAAAGCTGTGCAAAGAACCGAAAGACATTGTTGGCTCATGCTGCAGTTGAGCAATGCTGACTGAGTCTTCAGTGTAGACAAGGAGTTCTTCTTTTATGTTGAAAGATAGCCCAGAAAGAAATAAAATTTTTAATTCAAATTTCTATAGACATTTGGTTTATATGTAAATATGTATTTAAATTTTTATCTCAAAGCAAAACATTTATTTCCTTATTTACCTGCTATTCAGTATCTACTAAACTAAGTATGCATGTCCTTCCTAAACCAATTTAAAAAAAAATATCTCTGATGTCTGAAGGAATAACATATATCACTTTTCTTGTCTCCACAGCCTTTGATTGATGTGTGCTCAGACAGGAATGGCACAATAACTGTATGGGGTGGTTTTGTTTTTTATTGTGTGTTGTTTTGTTTTGTTTTTCACAAGCTTAAGTTGAAAATGTAAAAGGAAGCTTTAAAAACATTAGACAAAATGGCTTTCCACACAGTATTGAAGGTCATATGTTTTACAGCTTCAAGGGAAGGAAAACAAGGCTGGTAGCAGCACACCTTTAAGGAAAGCTTGGTGTATATATTTGAGCAATTAATTAAAAATGCTAACTTTTAGGTAGCTTTAATCCTCTAGGTAGATTCCTAGTACCAGTCTACTGTTTCCTCTATATTGCTACTATATGTAACGCAAGTAAAGTGTATATATGTAAGCAAGTATTCAAAATAAGAAATGGTTGCTTATCTTAAGGTAAGCACATTAATTCCATAGGTATCTCTCTTCTATCTACTATGGGAAAAATACCTGCTGAAGAAGGAACCCAAAAACCTAATCCTACCAGTATGTCCCTGAACTCGCAGGCAGAAATGATTACAGAGAATCGGGATTAGAATCTGTGTTCCTGGAATGGAACAAACAGGTAACATGTTTTAAAACAAGTGCATGCTAAGTAACCATTTTTCTCTTTGGTTTAGTGTTATGGTCTTCCATATAGTTTCTTTATTGAATACCTGCATTTGGCATCAGTGTATAGTTAGAACAATGTCTCTTAGCATATTGTACGTGAGAGCTCGAGTACATTAACACAACAGACTCTCTTAAAATAGCATTTCCATACTCTCAACGGGTTGTCAGCTGCTGTTTTGCTAAGGTGTGCAATGAACAGTCTAAATTTGGAATAAGTTTTGTATGAATGTAGAGATATTTATATCTGCATGGGGAAATGTGTGTATTTGGGTATGTGTATTCAAGAAGCTGAAACAATTTTACTGTGAAGTTCAGTTAAGAGCTAGTATCTTGAGTAGTTAACTGGGCTAAAGGTACTATAATAAAGAATTATCCTGTTTAAATGTATAAACGTGTATTATAGTACACCTGAACAATTTTTAACCATTAAGGAAAGCTCTAGTTTTTTCCTAACCAAATATAGTAGCAACGTTTTAGTGTGCCAGCAGGATGTACTGTATGCTGTCATGTAAAGGATATTGCTCCTTGCTTAGTAAGCAGTGCCTATTAATGGTGACAGTTCCTTCTATACCCAGTTTCTCGGTTCCTACCCTTGAACGCAGGGTAAATAGGAAGTTTAATTCTCCTTTGAGGGAATCGGCATGCGCTATGGTATGCTTCCTTATACTTGTCCCAGGGACTTCGTGCATTATGCTCTAGGGAGGGGGAAAGTACCACTTTTTTTGGTGAGTTCTTTAACTTTGTATGCAGGGGTTTAGTTCAAGTACAACAGGACTTCGCAGCTCACTCTAATAATGCACTTTAGAGACTAGTGGTGTAACAAAATACATGTCTTCAAAGGATTAAAATTGGAGTTTCAGTATCCCTCAATTCAGGCTTTAAACCACTTTTCTGTAACTTGAAAATGACCCCAAAACACTAAGAATAACAAGCAAAACTCCACAGGTACGGAGTCTCCTAGCAGAATAGGAATGAGGGCGGGTAAGGCGATACATTCCACACAATGTATTTAAGGTTGGATAATGTTGCACGTGTAGCTTGTTAAAAAAACACATCATGGAATTGTCAATTGAATAAAAGTGTCAAAGTGTTACAGGTATGCTAAAAAGATCTGTATGTACTTAGGAAAGATGAAAACTGGGAATTAGCTTAGAAGAGACTGGAGCTTTTATAAAATGCTTTTGGAGGGGAGATAGGGAATAGACAGGTGAGCTATATTTTAGTCCTAGTGTTCCTCTTATGGCTGTTGAGTACTGTTTGCTAGAGTGTCAATGTGTCTGAAATACTGGCTATATTCTTTAACTGTTTAACGCAAACACCCTTACCCCCCTTTCCCTGTGTCTTTAGCCCTGAGTAATGTTGACAGGAACCTTCCCACACAGTGCCTGCTGACATCTTGGCTACTGTTACACAATAAAGCAATGATTTTTCTCTTTTCTTACAAATTTTGTCTGTGTTTTAGCATATGTATCTGTACTTGCAAACTGGCCCGAACAGCTTGCTTTCCTGAACTCATCTTTGCCAGAAATGCTTGTATGACTTTAGAGAATATTGGTCAAAGCTTCCATTGGTGGTAACTAGCTCGTTAAATAGCAGCCTGTCAGCTTTGACAACAGCCCTGTGAATGGCATGTGCTGGGAGGATAAATACATGCTATGCTTCACATTCCTTGTGGGCAAAATGTAGCCTACTGTGGTCCTTAATCTTCTCAAGCTGGGGGAAAGCTGCTGCGTGACAGCAGTGTTAACTATGTAGAAGTACCGATGAATGGTCTGTAAAGCATGTAGCAGCACAGACATACTTCTCCATAAAGGCTTGGGAAACCTGAAGGAACCAAAATGGAGACAATCGCTCCTTTTGGCATGAGAAAGTGGAATGTCCAACAGGGATGGTTAGCAAGATCTATGGTGAATTTGACATCTGGTAACATTTCCAGGTGCCTTTATCTCTGTTACAGATGACACCGATCAAGCTACTGAGGTTACGATTTCAAAGCTGCCAAGGTGACAGATCCACAGATTGATTTTATTATTATTACTGCTTTTGCACCAAAACTTCAGGTTAGGCTAAGGTTCATAAGTTAGTTAGAGATTGCTTTTGTTAAGTTTCCCAAGCACAGTACTGCAGCAGAGGATGGACATATCTTCCTGGTGTCGTGGTTTGAGCCTGGTCGGCAGCCAAAGGCCATGCAGCCACTCCCCCCTTCTGGCACTACAAAGGGACAGATGAGCCAGGCTTGGGGTTTGAGATGGGATTGGGAGGGGCTGATTACCCATTATAGTCACAAGAATAAGGCGAACTTGTTAGGGGAAGAAAAAACCATACATTTATTATAGACACTATCAACACTTAACCGAGTTATATCCTGAGAACACCTTCCCCCCACCCCTCCCTTCTTCCCGGGCTCAGCTCTGCTCCCGATATCTCTACCTCCTCCCCCAGTGACGCAGGGGCAGGGAATGGGGGGTGCAGTCGGTGCTGCTGCTTCGTCCATCTTTGGTGGGGGGAGCTTCTGGCACTTGTTCCCCCTGCTCCATCGTGGTCCCCCTCTCACAGGACACAGTCTTCCACAAACTTCCTCTAATGTAAGTCCCTCCCATGGGCCACAGCATTTCCTTACACTGCTCTGTCGTGGGACACCAGCTTTCTCTGACTGGATTCCCTCCCATGGGCTGCAGCCCTTCCCGAGCTGCTCCAGTGTGGTGGGACACCCTCGCATGCTGCAATCCTCCCAATGCTGAACTACAACAGCGGGGCTACCTTTTCCTACAAGCCCCCAGTGTTCTTCGGGCACAGCACCTTGATCAGTCGGGCAAAAACACAGGCCCTAAATCATGGGGGGGGGGGGCCCACCTTGCTGTCTCCCCACAGGATACAGGGGGGTCTCTGCTCCGGCACACCTCCCCCCTCCTTTCTTCCTCCGTTCCTCCACTGACCTTGGTGTTCACGCAGCTGCAGCAACTCCTCCTCACAAGTCCCACTGCTCGTCACCACGTCCCTTCTTAAATACGTTATCGCAGAGGCGCAGCTGATTGGCTCGGCCTTGGTGCAGAGGCGGAGCTGACTTGGAGCTGGGGGAGCTTTGAGAAGCTTCTCACAGGGGGCCGCCCCGATAGCCCCCTCTCCTGCCACCAAAAAACCCCACCACTCACTCAACCCAGGACATCTGGGAATGTGTCCCAAACAGGCAATGTTCTTTGAGTGGTAGCTCCTGGCTAATCCATATGATAATTATAGCTTTGGGTTTCAGGAGAGGTCTAAAAGATGAAGGTCTCAAAATTCTCTTGGCTGTGGTTCAATTTTTTGTTTTGGTAATAAAAACAGTAGAAGTAATGAGTAGGAAAGGAACAAAAATTAATGTTCTTGCCTGGATGTGATTTATGCTCTAAAAAAGGTTTGGAAAAAGCCTAGGGAACAGTTAAGTGAGCACTGTATGGCAAGGTGTGATAGAGCAGAGGTCCGGCAGATAGCAGTTGGCTGAGAAGGGTAATAGCTGCTGTTAATCTTAAAGCACTGTGGATATAGCTAGGGCTTCCTGGAAAGAGATCAAGTAAGCAAGATGGCTGAAAAGACACAAGGAAAAGGAACAAGTGAAAATGCAAAACAAAACTGCTGCTTGAGATGGGACAGATTTCACTTAGAGGGAGAAGAGAATTGCGGGTGGGGGGGACTGGGATGAAGGTGGAGACACTCATGGCTGAACTATGAATGCTCGTGAGATAGAACACCCCTTGACTGAGGTTTCTAGATCAGGAGGTTAGCGTCCCTGGGTCCTCCACAGACAAGGAAAAAGGTTTCTTCCCTGACTAAATGTGGCCTCTTCATTTAGAGACCTGAGGTAGATGTGTAAAGTGAAAGGAACCATTTGGCAGGAAACCCTGGTGTCCACTAGTGCCCTGTAATGTATCCCGCTTAGGCTTGGAGAATACACTAGCTGGAAAACTGCCTCCATCACTATCTTTTCCCTTTCCTTTTCAGCTGGCAGGGTAGACAAATGCTGAAGGGACACCTGAACTGGAGAAAATGTGCCAGAGCAGAATGAACAGAAGGTGAGGAAGACAACTGGCACATAATATCCTGACAGGAAAGTGTGATACTGTGGGAGTAAGCATAAAGAAAATAAATGTGATTCTGAAAGGAGCAAAGCACCTGAATCTGTCTAGTTCCAGTGAGATCTGAACATCAGATTCCTTTAGGCCTTGTGTACATAGGCAAACTGACTGATACAGCTACTGGAGAGTAAACTGACAAAGCAGGTTGTTTCTAGAATACAATAACTTCTATCCTCACAAAATGGGTTTATATTGAGAGGGGGGAACACCTGAGCAGGCACTGTAGTGCAGAGGCATGTTAAGTCCTCTGTCTGAACAAGGCAGCAGATCCTTTGAAAACCCTTCTCAAGTATTGAAGACAGGAAAGGATTGCAGAAAACACATTCCATAATCGAAAAAAAAAAGTCAATGAAAATTCTCAGTGAAAAAACAGGAAGAAAATAGCAGAAAGAGCTAAGTTCTAATAGTTTGGGTTTTTTTTTTTTATTCGGTATCCATATGATCTACAAGAACTGGTAGTGTTACATTTGGAATAAACACTTGGATCCTCTTATATGGAGTGAAGAATTGCAATGTAATTAATTGCTTTAGCAATCTAGTCAAAATAGTAGAAAGCAGCTATTAATCTAGTTACACTGATATCAGCACTTACTGTCCAAATTTTCCAATTACTGATAATTCCCATTAATTATACAATTAAAACTGTTATATAGACTTTCTACCATCTCCTCCTCTTCTCCATTGTGATGATCACCTATGTATCTGTGGTCTACAGTGGAGAGTCTTTTTTTCCTCAGATTGGATGGTGCAGGTATTTCTGTGTTCAGATGGATCAGGTGTTGGTAGTGGGGTGTTGTTACTCATGCATATTTCCAAGCAGCTGACTGTTAACACATCTTTCTGATTGGTCTACAAATTCAGTAATATAATCTTAACAGATCAGTAAAATCTGTGAACATATATGGCATAATGCTTTGGGGTAATAATTGGAGTTAGACAAAACTAATCAAAAGCTGAAGGCAAATTAAACATTAAACTGCTAGACAGTTCTGCTATTACACCTAAACCAAATTAGGCTATAGTCAACTGACTATTGACAATGGGCTGATACAGCTACAACCAAGCTAAAGAAGTTCAAGACCAGACAAGCCCCAACCATGTTACTCAAACCCTTAAGCCTTTTATTGCCATGACAATACAAGGACTGTGACCTGCTAGCAGCAGTGGTGACACTATTGACAGTGCCATAGGGCTACAATAAGGCTCATTTCTACAATGCCAAGTAGTGTGACACTATCCTGGCAATTCTTTCCATGTGTCTCCCATGGCTTCCTACTGCGGGGCCAAAGGAATGGAGTATCATCAGCTTGAAAATGAGCACAGAAACACAATTGTGTTTTCTTTTAAATTAACAAGAACTCCAAGCTCAGCCAAGTCACCCAGGAGACCGAATCGAAGTAACTTTATAGTACAAGGCTTTGTGTTTACTGCTAGGACAAAGGTGCTAGGGACATAAATCAGGAAAGATCCCCTTGTTTTCACTCTGCTGGTGTGAAAGCTACATTTCCCCCTAGCCCCTACAGGCTAGTGCTTATACCAGGATGACAGGGAAGATTTGTTCTAAATCTTTTGTAAACAGAGAAAACTCTTCCCAAATCTCTCAGCATGGCAAATGGAAGGTTCAAATCATAAAGAATTAAACCCCAGAAATGCATTTGGCTTTTCTGACTTTTTAGCTATGCTAGACTATCAAAATTACATTATGTTACTGCACATCACCACATGAATCCACTCCATTAGTAGAGCCACTTCACTTTAAACATTTAAAAATTATTTTCCAGGCAGCTTTCTTCTCCAATTAGAATTTGCTATGGGAGGATCAGGCAGGGATGTGTTTCTTGTGGTATTTCAGATGGAAGAATTAAATAGTGGGCACTAACTCTAGTGGAGGCTAGGGCAGGGAGGCTGCTTCTGCACTGGGCAGGGGGAGAGCTGACCCTGGAAGACCATGTTGTGGTTGATGTTCATGGTTTCACGGGGGGGATAGCGAAACTGAAGAGGGCAGGAGAATGTCTTAAGGATAGCAAAATATGCTTTATTTTATTAAAGATTTTAACCATTTGAACCATTTAGCTTCTCTGGGGAGTGGAAATTTAAGTGTCTGTCAGTTCATCCTTGAGGAACAGAGATCTGTTAAGGCAGGGACCCCCAGTCTAGCAGCACAGGAGGGGTCAGTGCTCTGGACACTACTGCAAGTGAAGTGTATTATTTTTAACAGAATCAGTATGGCAACTCCTATGCACCCATGTGCTTAAATAAAAGATGCTCCATGGCTGGCAAGGTGTAAGGAAGGCCCCGTTCCCAGCTGGCTGTGGGTTTGTGCAGGCCCTGGG